TGTTTATAAAACACACCCCCATTAATAATAGTAAGATTTCAATGTGCTTCCTGCTGCTTTTGACATTCAGAAGGAGACATTCAGGGCCTACAAAGCAGTTGTATGTTGTCCATGGAAACCGGACAACAATATCAGAAGTGGCATTTACCAAAGTATAATTTAATAGAGAGCCACAGGACTGTGCGACTAAGGTCAAGGTCTTTTCTACCACATTTTACCCTCAGAATTAACATACAGAACACAGCCATTCTAATCTCTATTTGGCTCAGAAAGGCATATTCTGAATCTTCTGAAAATAACTGCAATTTGCTAGGCAAAAAAAGAGCACTGAAGACGTCTAAAGGAAACAGATCTAGTCTGGGAGTTTTCAATCCCATCAGTTTAGTGTGGAGCTGCCTCTGTTCACTTCCTCCTGTTTCCTGCCAGACATCCAGACAATAAAAGAATTTGTACAGCTGGAAGAACAGGAGTAAAAGCCAAAAACAGAGTAAGGGCTTCTATGGGAGGCAGAAGAAGCAACAAGCAGGCGACATCTGGGGATATTTAAAACTGTGAAAAAAATCCTAATTTATTTCTGACTTGTAAAAAAAATGCATAATGCAGCATGTAAAATGTCGAGAGGAAAGACTTTCTTCGGGTCAATTAAGTACAACCTATGAGACAGAGAAACTTTGACAGTTTTAAATAAAGAAAAAAAAATGAAGGAAAGCATAAACTACCTCGTTCACAAATCTTGCTTTGTGTTTCTGCACAACATTGCTGTAAACACAATCACACCTCCTCTGGATTCAGAGGTACAGGAAAACACCTCTGGGGTCAGAGGGAGAACTGCTGGCAAGGAAAAGTCCAGCAAGACTTCAGCTGCTCTCTCTCAGGCCACGTTCCTAATTCCCAGGTTGGATATCATGCGGTCAGCAAAATTGTGGCGTGATGTCTCTGCTTTTCCATTCTCTTTGACTTCACTGGAGAAGAGCTCTCCAGAGCAAATAAGATTACTCCATTAATAATCCCATCGGTACAGGTTTACCTTGACAAGCGCCCGTGCGAATGTTGGGAATGAAGCCACGGCGGCAGGGGTGGGGCTGGGCAGGACACATCTCGCAGGGGTGGCCCCAGGCTCGCCCGACTGTGGCACAGCAGAGCGTTTTCGTGCAGACAATCCCACTGAGCTGGCCCTGGCACATCTGGTTGCTGACCACAGTAAAACAGGGGCCTGTCCTGTAATCTGAAAAGGAAGAAGAAGCATCTCATGAAAAGAGCAGAAAAGGCAGACCCGTCATGCGGGGGGCAGCTATGTGCCCCATCTTGCTCCACTCCACACTGAGAAATGCTTTTCAGAGAATCAGGTATCACAAACTTCATGAGTAACCTTGGGAAGACATTCTACCTCTGACCCCCATTTTCCTCACCTACAAATTAGGGGTAAAAATTTCTGTTCCTATTGACTTCGAAGATGCCATTGTGCGGATCAGATGAGCTAATGGCAAACTCCTCCCGACTGTGATCTGCTGTGTAACACAGGAATGTTGTGTTAGCCACTGTGTGTCAATACCTGAACCATCAGCCCCTATTCCTGACATAGATGCTCCAGTGACAGAAGGGATCAAACCCCTACCCCACAAAGCTTATAGCCTACTGCTATCTAGGTTGGGGAAAACAGTATTTCAAAATTTGCAAGGAGACAAGTCAAGCACCTTCTTCCTGGGAGTTCCTTGAACAAAACAAAATGGTTATCTTGTTTCAAACATAAAAATAAACAAGCAAAAAAAATTTTAATTTACCCCTATAAAACACAGAACATATTTAATATAAAATGTGAAGACACTAGCCTGAAATCCTGAGCAAAAGGATCATCTTAAATCAAACAGGGATAAGTCAAAGCCATCAAAAGGTTTTTGGAAAAGTCATGATGCATTTTTGTATGGTTTTCTACACAAAACATCGTGACTTTCCCGACAACCCAATATATCAGACTCATGATTTCACAGATGTGTTTTACATGATGAAATTTAAGCATTTTTTCAATTCCATTTAAAGAAAAATACTAAGTCCTAGGATATGTGATACGCAAAGCAGGCCAAAAATTGTATGAGTAACACATAAGTGCCATCAGACTTAACCTTTCCAAAACACAAACATTAGACCTATGTGCCCCTCAAGTCTCTACCTGTCTGGCACTATTTATTATTTCTCTTTTAACTTGGATCTTGTTTGTGCATTTCTACTCTACTGATTTTTTTTTTTTTAGGTTTTTTGTCAGAAGACACATGTGCTCACCAGAAAGAGACAGAGACAGTGAGAGAGAGAGAGTGAGAAATCATCCCCCAGGAGGGGTGGCCACACTGAATACCTTCTCGTATTGGGATTTGGGGTACACATGCACACATGCATGATGTGATTTCCAAGCTACCAGATCCGAGACTCAAACTGTGGTTGGTTATGTGAGAATTCTGCATTTCAACCACCACATCACCTATTGGCCCCTACTGACTTCTTTTTCCTTTCATATAGTCAAATACTCAGTATATTTTAATGTTCTATACAATATGCCAGATTTATTCAACATCTATTCCTCCATAGATACTGAGGTCAAACAAGAATACAAATAGTAAATGCTAAGCTGCTGAATAAAATCTCAGCCTTCAGTTTGTTCTATCAAAAAAGAAGTCACTCAGCAGCACAGTAGTTTGTAACAAACCATTCTCAGATGCAGTAACTACGTGGACAAAGTGGAATACTTAAGTCCTCTTTACTTCTGTGGCTAAAGTTTCCAACTATTACACATTGTTTAATAAATCTCTTCCCAGTGGGTGGGCCTCATAGCCAAGTAGTTAAGAGAGCCGGATCCCACATGGCTGACTGTCGTTTCTAGTGCAAGCACCAGTGGCCTGGGAAACATGTCAGGTATAGGTGCATGTGTGTGCTAAATTCCAACAGGATGGAGAAATTCAAGAGGATGGCGGTGTGACTACATCCCATTGAGATTTCATTCTCCCTCTCTTTGACTCTCTATTTCTTTCTGGTGAGCATGCATGCACCCTTTGGCAATTAAAAAATATATTAATAAATTTCTCTCTGCCATATGCTTTTTTCTTTGTACTTAATATTTTATTATGTGTTTCTAATTCAAAAAGTAACTAATTATTTTAGACAATCAGGAAAAGGTAGTACCATATAAATAAAAAATGTAATTGCATCAAAAGAAATCCTTCATTATATATTGATTATATTATCACATATAATTTTATGTGTGTATGTTATTATTCTAATCATAAAATAAGAATTAAACTAAATACAAAATTTTGACTCCTGCTGTTTTTTTCACTTAACATTACCCAAAGCATTTTCCCTTACATCAAATACTATTTCAAGATACACTTTTAGTTTCTGGATAATTTTTTATGATTATAATTTATTAAATAGTTTTCTTAGTGTATACAATTTAAGTGGCTTTTAATTCTTCATTACATGTAACATTCAGTGTACAATACTGATTAAATCTTTTTAGGATGAAAGTTCATGCAGCAGTCATCAAAATTTTCATGACTATACATATCTTACATCTGAAAGGTCATGGCAACAATCTTTCATTTGAAAAAAAAGTAAATATTTTTATGTTAGGTAACGAGGAAGTGTATTTAGGCTTGTTTATTAATTTACTGAGGTAAGTGCAAATGCTTTAATCAAACAGATGCATGTTAGCATGCCATTTTCAATCTTTTTTTTTAAAAAATTAAACATGAATTTTAATTGATAACCCTCTCTTCAACATTGCTTGGATTTGTTCTTCCTCCTTATTTTGCGATGACACTATAGAATTATCTTATACATGAGGATTAGAAAGAGTCAAGGTAGATACAAACAATGGGTTTGGTGAGCAACCCCAGCAAATTCCAGGCACACTACAAAACGCTAAGAAAAACCTAATCCGGTCTTCATACTGGTTCATGACTTTAGATGTGAATTCTTCATTGGAAGAGATGTTCATTAAAAAGCAAACAAACAAACAAACAAACAAAAACCTTACATCTTTTCCAGAGTCAATCACTTGCCCTCATATTTCAGTACAAAACATGTGAAATAAAACTGGTACTTGCTGATTCTGACAACAAACATTAGGCATCTCTATACTCCTTAGGGGTCTATCTTTATTAAATATACTGGATATCTGGCAAATAGAATATGTAGAATGGAATCTATGAACCTAACACATTTTCATGCTAGATTCTTACCCAAAGTGATTTTGGAAACAAGTTATACTGTTTGGCTTAGTTGACTGTGCAGATTAGCAAATGGACATAAATGTAGTTGTAGAACTCATATTTTTCATAAAGGGAGAGGAATAATCTGGATGGAACAGATTTAGATCGAGAAACCTCTTGGAAGGTAAATGCTCTATAAACGTGGTTTTCAAATGTCATTCCTATTTAGCGGCCTGTGCTTTGTATCCTGTGTTTCATTTAGATTGCCAGAGTTAGGTTGTGTTGAGTCCAATGTGCCAACCACAGAAAGGAATCTCCCCACACTCCCAATTCCTTACTAATAATCCAATTATTTACAATGATTCCCATAGCACTTATGTGATATTACGCTAAATTTACATACTCCTTTTTTTCTTTCCCAGATAGCCCCAGCCCTAGACAGGGAATGTGCCTCGTTCAATGCTTGTGTAATGTCTGACTCACTTCTGACTTTAACTTAAACCATTATTCCTAATGTAACTAAAATATAGTATTAGGAATACTTTCTATTTGAAAATTGCTCTGCAATCACTCCTTTAGAAGACCTTCATGAACTAGGGCACCAGGCCAAGCCTTGCCAAAATTAAAATGCAATTTTAATTGCTTTTAACGTGGCTTACTGCAATGTGACTAGTTCATGGGAAATTCTGCATCTCCATGTTCCCATTCGAAGTGGTTAGCACTAGGATGGCTCCCTTGTCCCACTAGATTTGGCCTCAAGGCCTGGGCTCTGACCAACTTCTGTCTGCGGCCTCCTCGCATTCCCAGCTTTGCAGCCCAGAATGCTGTAGTCCACGGCATTATTTCACTTTTATTCGTAATCAGACCTCACCCTGAAGCAAATGCATCATTTACAGAGAAAGGATATTCTGTGGTACAATGAATTCTTGTCACTCCTGCCCAGTCACTAAACCACAAACTGCAGGCAAGGCACAAGGATGTAATTTGGGGGCACTAGGCTCCAATTATTTTAAATCCTTCTTTTCACAAAAATTACAGATAAAAGAATGAGATATCCATTTATCCCTGACAGAGGGGGTCTAGTGTGCATATTCCTCCCAGGTAGGTTGGCCTGGGACACATTAGGCTCATTTCTGCATGCAATTGCAACAGAACTTTCTGAAGAAGAAATGGGGAAGAAGCTTTGGGGAAAGGAAAATTAGAGCAAAGATGTCCCATTATCACCATCATCTCATAACTGCTGTTAATTTCTTCTTACTCCAATCATTCTTAACCTCAGGACTCAACAGAATTACTTGGAGAGCATTTGCAAAATGCTGCTGCCTGGGTCCCACCCGTCCTCTCCCAGGCCTCCATCATAATTCCTGTCAGTAGATGTGGCACACAGCATAGAAATCCATATTTGCAAAATCTCCACAATGTGATTTTGCCCTTCCGGGCTCTAAGTTATCTCTTTCTTCCTTTATTGAGGAGTGTTATGTTCCATTAGTTGGAGATGTTTGCAAGAGAACTGATTGCTTACCTACACGTCTAACCTTCGAGGAGTCAGACAGCCCGTAAACTGGGATTGCCACCACTCCACATAACCCAGTATCTCTCAACCAGGACTAATGTTCTAATCGTGGAAAAATAATATACATCCCTCAGGGTTGCACTGAATATGAAGTACTCTATTATGTTATTAATTATATTAACCATAAGATCACTAAGACAAAGAACAAAGTTGAGATTTAAGAAGAGTGGTCACTTGCTACTGTACTGTCCTAATGAATTAACTGAATTCCCATTTCAGGCTCGCCCTTCTCAGATGACAAATCACATTACTATACATGACCTCTGCCACTATCATGAGCCCCCACATCCAGCCCCCTGGCCAGTGCTGCAGCTTGCGCCTGAGTGAAATTCCAGGGGAATTCTCCAACTGGGTCTCAAATACGATGAGCAAATGTAGCATCCGTAACAGAAAAACAAACTCTTATTTCCTCCAGAACTGTACCATCACACATCATTCTGAGATCCTTCC